CATTTCATTTGTATTCAGCGACGCCCCCTTGTCTGGCCGCAGAGTGCGCCATCTCCCAACATCCCCCCCTCCCTCACTCTATACATTGAGTCTTTGTTATTGTGTTCTCTGTACACACACACACACACACGCACACGCAGATGTATACAACTAAACCCACACACATAAGCAGCCACAAACAGCACTCAGTTAAGCATTGCGACACACATGACGTATACGTAATAACCTTGTAACCAAAATGTTGTTATTTCGGGCCACATTTCTGTGTGTGTGTGTGTGTGTGTGTGTGTGTGTGTGTGTGTGTCGTTCTTTATTTCGCTCTTTGCATGTGTGTGTGTGTTTGAGCTACAGTTCTTGGCATTATTTTAAGTGTGCGAGCATTTTTACTAGCTCACCTGCTCTCTCAGTTGCGACTCTCCCTCTCTCTCCCTCTCTCTCTCTCTCTCTCTCTCTCGCCCTATCCTTAAATGCTGTGTGTGGGCTGGCATAATTTCTAAATTTATACTTTAAACTCGCATTCTAAAACGCGGCCTTTATTATATGTAATACCTTACACACACACACACACACACACACACACACACACACACACACACACACACACACACACACACACACACACACACACACATACACACACTTTATTATGTGATTCTTCTTAAATGTTGGTGTTCATTGTCGTCGTGTGTTTCAAATTAAATGTTTTTCTTTATATATTGTTCGTACATTTTACTTGAAGTACTTTTTATTAACACACACACACACACATATTTCACAATTCTAACAACAAACGGCAGTTCTTGTCCGTGTTACACATTTTGATTCATTTAAAAGGAAAACTCACTCCTTATAACAAATTTATGTGTAGTTCTCGTTCATTTAGCAAAGCAAACTTTTTTTTCTACTAATTTTTTATCAACATTAAAAACATTAGAAAGCATTTTGCAATCCCCGAGAAACTGTTTGTCCTACTCAAAATATTCACCGACTTTACAAGACAGTTAAAAAAAAAACTGAAAATAGACCAATTTGTACATTTACATGAAAATATCTCAATCTAGAGCATAGCTAGGGAATTTTGTCCCGAAGTAACTTGGGTTTTAATAGTTCGATCTTAATGAACTTTTCGGGGCATGAATGGAGCCTCAAAATGTGTGCAAATACCAAAGCCCAAGACTTTTCCCACACAAACGTCTTTCTTACAAGCTTTCGCCTAGAATGGGGAAAGATATTCATAGCTCTAGCTTTGATAATCTTTGAGTTTGGCTTGAAAAACAAGATATCGATATTAATCGATTTCTTGCAAACGAGCTTAGATTATATCAGAAGGAACGCAATTTAAATTAGTTTCATAAATAATATAATAAAATTAAACTGCACATAAAATTTGGTGTTTTTGGTAAATAAATCCAAATCAGTTGCTCAAGAAAATGCTTAAGCAAATTTCATTTGCGCTGCGTTTGTTGTTTTAGTTCACGCCTAAACTTAAGTTAAACCGATTTTATATACTCTACGCCCGATTTCCTTTGCCTAACTTAGTGCTACATTCAAACCAAATTGAACAGCATTTATTTGATTCGTAATTCATAACACACACACAATTTTTATTTTTTTAAAAAAAACCTGTTAAATTTGTTATTAGCATTGTACGGAACGCTGTTTGAATTGTTCAATTCCTTTTTTTTCTTGCCGTTACATAATCAAAAAGTAATATATTTATATATATATATATACCTATATACACAAACACAAAGCAATCTAAACAATGACAACCAAAAACCAAAACAAAACCAAGCTAAACAAAAAAAAAACAAGGAAATTATATAAAAATATGAAAAACAATTTAAAAGTAAAATCTTAAAAATTATTTAAAGCAATCAAATGATTAATTAGTGAACTGTGTGATTTATTTTTAGCATACAAGAATAATTCTTTTGTCATTTTATTGCCAAAAGATGCCGATTTTTTCACGAAACTTATCGATTGTAATGGCTCCAATAATTGGCTTTTTTATATATGCAAAAACAAATAAAAACAAGATGAAAAGAAAAAGAAAATAAAAAGTTACCGAAAAGCAAACAATATCGAACACTTTAAGAGTTGAAAGCAAACGCTTTTGAAAGCGAGTTACTTGTATTTGTTTTCAGAATTGATCATTTTTCTATAAAATAAAACATATTTTGTTGTTGTTCTAAAAGCAAGCACAAAACGAAGCAAAAACAAAAAACAATCGAATATGCAAAAGACAACAAAAACAAAATAAAAAAAAAAAAAACAGGTTCCAAACAAAAACTTAACCAAAAAGAAAATTCATTTAACCAAAAAAAAAAAAAAAAAAAAAATAAACAAATTTTTATACCGTATGCAACTATTTACAATATGCTTTTGTAATATTTTCGCACCCAAAAAAACGAGAAAAAAAAGCAGAACATAATTAGAGTACAACAAAAAAAAAAGTCAAAAGCTAGACGGGCTCTAAAAAAAAAACAAGAAGAAGAAGAATGAGAAACAAAATGTAGGCAAGGAATTCACTGACAAATCTCTTTGACGATAAAATGATAAAACAATTATGACGTGTATATACCACATACAATACGTACCTATCTATACCTATACCAATACCTATACCTATACCTATACCTATACCTATACCTATTATATATATATATATCTATATATGAATATACATATATATGCATATATAGCACACTTTCTATCTCTCTGTCGCTCTATTCGTAACCATATATGTAATCAGCATATATATATATATGTATATTCATGTACATATCTATATATGCATATAATTATATATATATATATTATCTACTCAAGTATGTTGTTTTTATTGCGTTACTTTGCTTACCAAATTGTGCCACACACGAGCACAACAACAACAACAACAACAACAACTACAACAGCAAGAACAAGAACAAAGACGTGCCTCCTCTTCAAATTGTTAACTACACCTCCCTCCCGCCCCATCGACTGGCCGCCTGTTGCAGCTACTTACATTAACAACAAACACAAAAAAAATGTATTACTTTTTGGTTTTGTAAATAAAAATTGACTTCAAAAACGAAATTAGAAACCAACGCAGACGAAAAGCAACCAACAAGTCACCCGCAAAACTAACACTCGTTGGGTTCTAGCACACTCACAGACTACCACACACACTCTCTCACACACACACACACACACTCTCACACACTCACACAAACCTGCCACAACACACAGCATTTCATTTGAAACTCAGTCGCAAGCCCAATAACTTGCGCTCAACTTCAATCAAAACAAAAGCAACTATCTCTCTCTATCCCACTCTCTATCTCTCTCTCTCTCTCTGTATCTCTGTCTTACTCACACTCACTCCGTCTTACACTATTGCTGTCTCTTTTTTAACCTCTCTCTATCTGTCTATCTGTCTAACAGTCTCTGTCTTTGTCACACTCACTGTCTGTCTAAAAAACAAGAACTCTATTCTATAACTATATATGATATATATAATATATATAATATACTATATATTTATATATGTATATTTATATATTTATTTTGTTTTTCACATAAAAAACAACAACTAAACACACAAAAATATGCATATATATATATATATACCAAAAACAAAACATATACAGAAACAATTGTTTACAATATACTTTTGCACGTTATTTCTATAATGCATCTGAACTATATATTGTTATAAGTAATTTATGTTTCTTTCCTGCGTACAAGCAACTACCCAAAATATAAAAAAACAAAACAAAAAAAAATGAATACAAGAATATACCAAACTCAATATACCGATATACCAACAAAAATACCAACAACGAAATCAGAATCCAAGCGCATTTGTATGCCTCTCGTCAAACATGTCGTATACGCAATATTCACTAACTAACCAAACAAATCAAACACACACACACACACACACACACACACACACACACACACACACACCCACGCCCACTTTGAACAGTTGTGGGCGTAATGCACGTGAGCGTGTGCCTGACAAAAACACACATACCTACACACACACACGCACACACATACACAGCGACCCAGCCGCGTGGCTCTCTTGCAAAATGTGAGACACATTTCATATTGCCCGCCCCACCTCAAGCCCTACACCACACTCTATCTATATACAAACGCCCCCCTTGTTGAACTTTTAGGTGCAGCTTGCCAAAAATGAATATGAATTAAACAAAAGAAAGAACACACACAGAAAGTCTGTAAGAACTTAAGAAATGAACGAGAGTTCACAGAAAGATGAACAATTAATTCTATTACAAAACCTTATTGTAAATTAAGCGCAAAGAGAAAAAGTGTTGAATTAAGTAAACAAAAACAAAAAACTTGTAGAAAAACAACAAAAGTCAGAAGCAGAAGTATATGAAAAAAAACCTTAAATTTTACGTACAAATATGGGGCCAAAATAGTCCGTAAGTGTTCGGGCAAAAATCGCTTTGGTTAAAATGTACAAAAAACACAAACATAAAGAATCACCTGTTGTTAACATAATAACTTATATATACATATATATGTATATATATATATATATATATATATATATATATATATATATACTATATACTAATTTAGACATATATATTAACTAACTTAAAAAGTGCCTCGATTGTAGCAAAACTTATGAGAGGAACAGCGCAGTAATAAATAATAATATCAATATCAATAATAATAATATTAATAATAATAATAATAACAGTAAAAATGTAGCTTACAAAATCTACACCAAAAACTAAAACAAACAACACAAAAATAAACCAATAATAAAAAAATATATCTAAAAAAAAAATAAATAAAATGAAATAACAACAAATACCAAATATATCTTAAATTAAACCAAATCCTACAAGAAAGAAAAGCAAAAACCACACAAAAAAAGTTTTGAAAAATAAAAAAACAGTTACAGTTACAGTTACAGTTAGAGCAACACGAGAAACACACAAGAAACCAATTTGAAATCGCCCCCATTTCAGATGTACAATAACTTCACGGGCGGAAGCGGAAGCCCCCCACTGCCCGATATCATTGGACAATATTACGGACCAGTCACAGCCGGCGGCTACGTTGGACCGGGCGTCACAACAACCTCGCTCAACGGCGGCTATGGCAATGCCTATGAACTGTACGGGCCAAGCAGTTCGACGGGCTATTTGTATGATCCACAGGCAGCAGCTGCTGCCGCTGCTGCCGCCGCCGCCGCCGCTGCACAGATTTACGGACAGCAAACATCACCGATACGGAGGAGACGTTATAGCATTGCCGGTCTGCCATCGGCGACCATGTACAACGATGTCTACGGTTATCCGGCGCCAACATTGCAACAGACTAGCTCCTCGAACATTGTCAATCTGCTGAACGAGGCAAACAAATCGATATCGCGCTCATCACAGATCCTGAACCTGAGCCACCAGGCCAGACAGCTAAGCGGTGGTCAGTGCCAGCAACAGCAGCTGGTGACAACACCGCTGTCCGGCCGTGTGGTATCCAGTTATCCGACGCTGCATGGTGGCGATTATTCGCCGCCGTATCTAAACGATAACCTGCTGCAAATGTCGACAAGCTTCTCATCCCAGCCCAATATGTACTTCCAGCCGCAGCAGCCGACGCAGCTGACGGCCGCACAAAGTGCCGCTGCGGCGGCTGCACGACTGCGACCCGCCTACTCCGTATCGAATCTTGTCGGTGGCTATCTGCCAGCCAGCTGCAAGTACGGTGCAACGGGTTACGCGAATCCCTATCAGAGCGATCTAACCGGCTACGGTCTTGGTCTCGGTCTCGGTCTGGGTTCGGGTGCGGGTCTTGGCTCGAATCTGGGCCTGGGCCTGGGCCTGCCGCCGGCATCGGCGCAACAACGCCAGCTCATGTCACACTCACTGCATGCCTCCAATCCCGCCATAACGCAGTACTATCAGCAACAGCATTCGATGCCACCGCCGGCCAGCTCGACGCTGGCCTACAATCTGCATCAGCAGTTCGCCGGCACTCAACAGCAGCAGCAGCAGCAACAGCAGCAGCAGCAGGCGGCACATTCGCATATACAGGCCTCGGTGCAGCAGCAGATGAACCCGCAGTATCAGTATCATGTGCATCAGCACCAGAATCATCTGCAAACCCATCCGCTGGCATCGCTGGCCAATACGAGCGGCCCATTTGGCGGTACGCTGGCGAGCAGCGCTCGAGATGTTGGCGTCGGCTACGAACCGCTGCATCATGCTTCGCATCTGGCGTCGCATCATCATACGCATCCGCATACGCATCATCATCATCATTTAGCGGCCGGGCTGCATGCCCCACCATATTCGCACACGCATCATCAGCAGCAGCTACAACAACAACAACAACACCATCATCACCACCATTTGCCATACTCGAAACTAGACTTAGATTACCCGAAACTGCCGCAAGAGCATAAGCGACAAGTAAGTTTTAAATTTGACGTAGACCAGCTATCCCTAGATTCCTAGATACTACTCGATACTACTCGATACTATCCGCAACTATCCGATACTACTCAATACAATCAACAGCCACATTCAAAAATATTTAAAATTTAAAACATGCCCATCAAAACGTAATCCGCAAATCGTATCTGAAACTCAGCGCATTCCAGAAAAAAAAACAAAAAAAACAATCATTTAGCAGCCTAACGGTTCTGTCTATATCTTTTTATTGACTAAATGATGCATTTTACGCTATTACCCCTCAACGCTCCCCCAAAACCCAAGTCATCCAGTCGAAAATGAAAAAAAAAAAAACAAGCCCACGACATTTGCAGTGTGCGGTTCTCGAAGCGTATAGAACACCAAGTATTACACATACAATATACATATATATATATAGGCCATATATGATATATAATATGGCTCCAGCATTAGATCTAGTTCATAAGAGAAGAAGAAGAACTATTGTTTCATGTGCCATTTTACAGTAGCGAAAGAGATTAGTGTAAAACAAATTTAAAGAACTGTAAACTTTACTTATTTCATAATTATTTTAAATTTAGCTTCGTAGTATTTTTTTGGTATTTTATGTTGGTATTTTTTGGTATATTATATGTAATTATGGTATTTTTTTTTTAATTTTGCATAGAGCACTCAGGGCAACTTTTCAGTAAAGAAATTGTTTAAGTCTTGTATAGTAATGAAAGAATTCGTTTGAAATTTGAAACACTTTGCTCTTGACTCTCAAAAGTAAAAAGACTGTAAATAAAACAAATATATAAAAAATCTAAAAAAAACAAGAAGAAGAACAACAAAAAGTGAAACTAAATGATATTTACCCATAAAATATATATAAATCATTTATACGATATAGTTATTAAAAAACAAATGCAAGAGAAGTGGAAAAAGAAACTGTAATGAATATTAAGAGAACATTTACTTTAAATTATTTGGTATATAACCCAAGACTCGTATGTGTTAAGTTATGCGAGAGGTTTGACAGAAAGTTATTATTAAATGAATACCTAATAAGTACCCGTACTCGTACTCTAACGAATACTCTTAGCCGTACTCATACTTAGTCTTATACAGATATAGAAAAATTGTTAGTGCAACTCTCTTCCTCTCTCTCTCTCTCTCTCTCTAACTATCCTTGCTCTTCCTTTCTCTGAAGTGTAGCAAATACTTAAACCTAAATACATGTATATCTAAAGTGTGTATAAGTGAAGTTTGCATAGTAAGAGCCCAAGCCCTTCCACTCTAGCCAAGGCGCCTCTATACCCAACCTACTAACTACCTAACTAGCAAATTACCTAACCTAGAATTCCAGAATCTAAAGAACCGTACGTATATATGCATAATAGATTGTGTGTTCAATTACTTTAAACGCCAACTTGATTCGGTTCTATTTAGTACGTTCGGTTTGGTTCGACTCGACTCGGTCTGAGTCTGAGTCTGGCCGGACCCTATATAGCAGTACTCGTATTACCCACTAAGTAATAGCGTGTGTGATTAGCAATGAAGGTCAATTATATGTAAAGATGAAATTTATATGCAAATCCAGAGACGGGTGCAATACAAAGAAAGAAAATAACAAAAAAAAAAACAAATGAAAATGGTGTGAATTATGATGATATATATATGGAAAATGTCACGGAAAGCTGGGTATATAAATATATATATATTAACATCTGGCAATGTGTTTAACACAGCATTTGGTTGCAGTTGAAAAAAAAAGTAAAACAGAAAAACGAAAGATATGAATCGAAAAGCAAAAACGAACGAAGCATTCAAAATGTGTCTATGCGAATATTTTACAAAGAAGAAAAATTAAAAAAAAAAATGGTATTATGTAACATGTACTAAAAGTTCTTATACTATATTTGAAACTAACACAACTTAGTATTCCAAAACTGAACGTTTATATTATACTTATACATCTATATATATACTATATATACTATATACACATATACTTATATTTTTAATTGCCAATACATACATACATACGTACACATGTACATGTATCTAGGTGCTTTTTATTACAAACTTTGATTCGTCTTCAACTAAAGCAAAATTTCCTCTATGCAAATTGTTCGGCTTTGAAATTGCGTTAAAAAAAAAAGAAATATAGACGTTTTTTTCGACTTTTTTCGAATAGTATTTTTCTTAAAGAAAGTAAAACCCGTTTGTTATAGCCTAGTACGTAGTGTAATCAAAAACCGGAGTTACTCTAATTTGTCATATATAGCATATAGATATATATATACACATATATATATATATATATATATATTTATTGTAGTTGAGCGCCCCTGCGAAACTAGTTCGTTGTGGGCGTGTTTGGTTTTTAGGAGGCGGGCTTTTGCGTATACAATACGCTGTACGGCCCGAAACGAGCAATAAAAACTTGCGTTGTGTTCAGTAGAGGACTTTAACTAAATCTAAACTTAAATTTCTTAATGCTAACTTCTGATTTCGTATAGCCCAAGCAAAGTGTAATCGCGCTCTCTCTAGTCATAAGAAAGGATAATAAGCTTAACACTAGCCAATTGAAAGCATTTATGGCAGCAGTTGCTGTCCGTGTAAAGGACATACATACTTATAAAACAAATACAAAAAGAATGAAATAATTAACAAGAAGATAAACACATTCGCATACATGTATATAGTTAACTATGCTATCAGCTAATAACTATATACTTAAATAGTTAGTTCAACTGTTCTATCTTTTTCGTTTTTTTCTGACTTTCGTTTGGGTTCCATTTGTTTGTGAAGCGTGAAGTACATCAATAAGCAGGCATTTACTTATAATATGATATTATATAACAAAATGATGAGTCATGATCTTGAAAACTTGCAAATATTTATACTTATTAAATACGTATACATGCATAAACAATATATTATATATATATACAAGTATATATATATATATACACCTAATTAATTACTACTCCAGCGATATACTATATATATTATATATATTTATACACTGATTTGTATTTGTAAACCTAATTAAGATATATTACTTCAGACTTAATTCAAAACTAATTCTTGAGCTCGAACTCGAAACGAATTCTGTTAAACTTAAAACCTAACTCTTAAGCATTATAAATGAAATTTTCGAAAGCAAACAATAAAAAATTTAACATGCGACAACCGAATGGATAAGCTATGCCTAACGTCTAGCACCAGGTTAACAGTATTAACCAGCTATAATGACCCGCCACCCGCCCTAACACCCCCTCCCCCTAACACCGTCTCTCTAACAAGCCCTGTCTATTACACACACACAACCACACACACACACACGGCCATACACTTTGACACATTTGACCCTCGGCTCTGAAGTGGGGCAATGACTTTAGCCAGCCATATTCTACATTCTCTCACATTTGCTCGCCACGCCCACACGCCCACAAGCCCACTCACCGAACCCTTTCGCTCATATATATATAAATACATGCGAATCATAATCAAAAACACATTGCACCAAGCGTAACTTTGACACAACCAAAAAATACTACAAAATAATACTGCAAAAAAAGAAAACTAATCATTTTGTAGGCAAGGCAGCTGCGTTTGCATATGCTTTGCAGTTGTGATGCAATTTTAAAATCTGGTATGTCTTGTATCTTATCCTCTTCCACCTATAATCCACCCGAAACAAAACAAATCCGCGCAGTTGGACGAATTCCGTCTTGAAATACAAAGAAGGGATCAAGAGATCTTGGCGATGGCGGCCAAAATGAAAACGCTCGAGGAGCAGCATCAGGTAATAGGCGCAATTGCGCGAATCCAAAAACAGTTCAATTGTTCCATGCACAGTAAAAAATAACTTTCGTTAGGACTATCAGCGGCACATAGCGGTGCTCAAGGAGTCGCTATGTGCCAAAGAGGAGCACTACAATATGCTGCAGACGGACGTTGAGGAGATGCGCGCCCGGCTCGAGGAGAAGAATCGCCTCATCGAGAAGAAGACACAGGGCACCCTGCACACTGTTCAGGAGCGAAATCGTTTGACCAGCGAGCTAACCGAGCTCAAGGATCACATGGACATTAAGGATCGCAAGATCAGTGTGCTGCAGCGCAAGGTCAGAGCCAAATACAGCAGCAGCAGCAGATAATCATACAAATCATGCCTTATCTACACACACACACACACACACACACACACACCTCCACAGATTGAGAACCTGGAGGATCTGCTGAAGGAGAAGGATAACCAGGTGGACATGGCCCGTGCTCGACTGTCCGCCATGCAGGCCCACCACAGCAGCTCCGAGGGCGCACTCACCAGCCTGGAGGAGGCCATCGGCGACAAGGAGAAGCAAATGGCGCAGCTGCGCGAGCAGAGGGATCGCGCCGAGCACGAAAAGCAGGAGGAGCGCGATCTGCATGAACGCGAGGTGGCCGACTACAAAATGAAACTGCGCGCCGCCGAAAGCGATGTGGAGAAGCTGCAAACGCGACTTGAGCGTGCTGTCAACGAGCGCGAACGGCTCGAGATCAAGCTGGAGGCATCGCAAAGCGAACTGGGCAAATCGAAGGCGGAACTGGAGAAGGCCACCTGCGAAATGGGACGCAGCAGCGCCGATTGGGAGTCGACAAAGCAGCGCATCGCACGCTTGGAGCTGGAGAATGAGCGGCTGAAACACGATCTGGAACGTTCGCAGGTACTCGTGCATTATGACCGGTTCCCTCGGCTCGACTATAACCCCATATATCACATATCATGCATATATATCTAGTATAAAGCCTATGTACCGAATGTGTTCCTCTGTGTACATATAATTATATATATATATATATATGTGTGCGAACTTAATTACTATTCAAATATCTAATTATCGATAATTAGCTATCGATAGCTATAACGATAACGATAACTTACCTTAATCAATATTATTACAATTACTATAAATATTTGCCTCTATGTGTGCCTATATATTTACATGTACACTTACAACAACAACAACTTTGTACTACAACTACAACAACATCTCGCATCCCAACAACAACAACTACAACTTTATCACTCTACTATATATATATATATGTTTATATGAATAACCGATACATTAACCAACAACAAACAACAATCAAAATAGATGCAGCTAGAAGAACAGACCACACTACACAAAGTAAGCCTATTGCCAAAACCTACCTACCCAACTACTTGTAGTGTCTAAGTTGTGCTCGTTTCTCGTAGTGCCCACATCCTTTACTAAAAAACCACACAGTAGCAATACACTTTAGTTACTAACAAGCATTTTGCAGCATCTAGAGCCAGCAGTTTTTCTGTTTCGTTTTTAGTTGCAGTTTATAGATTAAACTACATGCAAAGGGCAACCCTTAAAACTTTGACATCATAAGAGCAAAAGCTTTTTAACATCAATCAATCAATCAATCAGTCGCAGAGCAGGAATAATTTTATATATTTATGCATCAGCGATCAGCTCAGCTTTCTAACATTGTCGGGTAATCTGTATTTCATCAATCAATCAGTTTCCTAGCCTATTCGGTACTGTGCGTGTATTATGTGCTTCATCAATCACTCAATCAATTAGTCAGTTAGAATAAACTATTTGTTTAGTTCATACATCAGTTATAGATATATCTTTCTAGCATGTCAGCCTTTGTGAGTGGTTTATCAATTAATTTGTGAGTAAACTATCAATCAATCAGTCAGTCAGTATATTTATACATCAACTATAATTTCAGCTTTCTTACACCTGTGCGGGTGTTATGTAGTTCATCAATCAATCAATCAAATCAGTCTGAAAAACATTTTTTATATATTCACGCATCAGTTATAAAATTAGCTCTTTAACACTTATGATTGTTATGTGGTTCATCAATCAATCAATCAGTCAGTCGAAAGAAATAATGTTATTAAATCAGTCAAAAATGGAGCATACTAGCATGTAAGCTCATATGAGTGAATTAATCAATCAATCACTCATCAATCGACCCATTAATTATTCTGTCAGTCAACAGAAAACATTTTAAATATTTGATTGAAGCGTCTCAATAACTATCCATTCAAGTACTCGAAAAGTACTTAATCACAAGTTGATAAACTACGCAAATGACGCAATTGCAATCGACTGAGTACTCATAAATAGTTGAATTTTAATGATAGTTTGTGCCTGTTTCAAACAGTTTGCCAACTGCAAGTTTTAGGGCCTGCCTATTTGCATAAGAAATTAGCTAGCCTCTTTCCGCACTCCCCCCTCTTTAGCCTGGTCAGCACACACAGCACAATAACAACAAGCTCCACGCACGCGCACACACACGAACACACAGACACACAGACTTTAGCTAGTAGCAGGGTCTGATTTAATCTTGTACACTTACACGATTACAAATTGATTGTGCATAATTCAAGCGGATACAATTATCATCGCCTTTCAATTAAGTATGCATCATGCAATGTCTATTGTAAAATGGTTTAATTGTTGTTGAACATGCATATTGTATCTTACTTTACGTACTTTACAGAATGTACAAAAGTTAATGTTCGAAACGGGCAAAATATCGGTAAGTTGGCCAACAAATGGCCAGCCAATAATGTAGAAACGCAAATTAATCGATAACTCACCGACTTAGAGAAACATTTATCGATATGCCAAAGCCAATGCTCGATATGAAGTATACGCCTTGTAGTCACGCTCTAGCTCAGGCTCATTTTGTTATAAATTTGCGTTATTTTGCAACACTTAAGTATGCACAGCTCATAAGTGCAGTGTTGAGTAGTGATATAAATATATTAATATACATTTAGTAAAACGGAAATGTAGCTTCTTTTTTTGAGGCCTTGAATTATAAGAACTCAATTTGTAAGCATTTACCAGGGCTGCAAACCGATTTTATAAGTAAACTAAATTTAAATAGGAAATTTATTGATAAGAATTGCAAGGCTTTTAATTGGAAAATTCGTATCTCCATTCGAGACGTGAATTCGCAGCATCTGAAACTCTTTCATTGTGTTTGCAGCCCTGGTTTATAAACACACACACCGATTTTTTGAAGCAGTTACTTTGGTGTACACAAAACAAATGTTGAAAGCGTTAAATGCACCCATTATCAAATCCCACCCACAATATTAAAGCTTGATGACAAAATCCCAAATCAAAATTCATGTTCATTAAAGCACACTTAATTGAATTTGTAGGGTATATCTAGACACAAATACCCTTCAAATTCAATATAAAACCGTACACACATATTCACACATTACGTATACGCAACGTATGCTCATTTTCAATTGCTTTGCTGCTGGACTATTTTTTTTTTGCTAATGCTTCAGTTTTGTGTTGATATCTAACTGTTTTTCTAATTCTGTAGTTGCAACTAATACATAGATATCTCTGCAATAAACTATATACTAATTGTTATGTTTCGCGTCGCGTATAGACGACATTCGGACGCACCACAATGACCACATCCCAGGAGCTGGATCGAGCGCAGGAGCGCGCGGACAAGGCTGCCGCCGAGCTGCGACGCACTCAGGCCGAGCTGAGAGTGACACAGGTACAGTTAATCGATCGCAAATCCCATAAGCGCTATATATACATATACTCTCTCTCTCTCTATATATATATATACATATATATATAAACATATTCGTATCTATATCTGTACGCACACGAGTATCTGTGTGTGCTCTATTAGCTAGTTGTCTGAAAATGTTCTCGCAAAAAGTGCAAGCCTAATTTCATGTCTATGTGTGCGTGTGCTACAACAACAACAACAACAACAACAAAAACTTGTTAATAATACTTTGCACTGGCTTCGATTCATGAATGAATACTCTATACAATCTATATACTCTATACTTTCCACTGCTTCAAGGCAAACACTTTCTGAACTAAGCCACACTTTCAGCAACAACTACTGCAACACACACACACACACACACGCATACACACACGCACACACACACGCACACCCACACGCACACCCACACACACACACTCACAGCCAAACATAATCACACTTTTGCACCTGCAAATCAAAACACTTTCGTGTGCATTTTATATGCAGCGCGTCTTTGCAAAAGTTTAAATATATAAAATCTTCTGAAAATAGTCCAAAAATTCAAGCAGAAAACTTTCTAGACAATGTTTACAATATTAAATAAAGTTCTGCTTTTCTTTTTTAATATTTAAACTTTATCTAATTAAAGCCGAAAACAATTGAGCGAATTTTAAACAATTCTGTAAATAATTCTGTCTATTTTTTTTGAATATAAAGATCAAAAATAAATATATTTGTAAGAAAGCTAGAGAAAGTTTAGTTAAACTAGAAAAGTGCTTTTGCTGCTTTTACTTATCTTTAACGTAAAAAGTAAAAAAAGACAATCATAGTTAACTATTAAAATATACTTATTGTGTTTCTTTAAAGTTGTTAAATAATGTATACTAAAACCCAAACTCTATCTAAACCGTTGTGCTTACATTCATTTTCTATAGGGCGAAACTGAAAAACGTTTTGTGAGTAAATGCTTGAAAAACAAACAAACAAACAAAGATACTCGTACAAAAACCCAGAAACTAAAACATTTGACAACAAGATGAGAAGAAATCAAGATTTAAAAAAGAATTAGTTTTAATCTATCTAGATGTCACATGTTTTACTTACTGTACAATACTACATATCTATATATATATACTTGCATTGCCTAACACATCATACTAACTAACCCACATAATTAAATACTTAACACATTTATATTGAGAAACAACATTTGCTCCACCTTGTATAAATCGCTTTGAGTCCATGTCAAATCATCTATCATCGTTTGGATTCGAAACATTTGAGTGTTGAGTGCGTCTCCTGCATGAGTTGTGTGTATTGTCGAAAACGTCTTCAATGGAACATCAAAACCATCCGAAACCCACAAATAACCTCACCCAAAATAACCTCCAAAAAAGCCATAAACATGCTTCTTTGAGATAGTCAGATAAAAGAATTTAAGCTCAGGCGCTGCGTTTAGGTTTAATCTTCTACTTCCTCAGAGATATTCTCTACGATTTATATAAAAGTCTTTTACTTTTAATTAAAGCTGGACTAGGGACTTCTGATCTTTACCAAGATTGAGTTAAGAGCATAGTTATAACTAAAACATATCTGAAGTTAACTTGAACTATCAAGTAGACAAGCTCACAAGCGTGAACTAAACTTACACGCTCTGCAATTAAGAGCTTGATTTCTCTTCACTATCAGATATTAGCTAGATTCATTTAATAGAATACATTATTCTCATATCACTAGCACTAGCTATTAGCTTTGATAATACAGTCTAAGGTCTCAAACCGAAGACCTTTCCTTGGCATTTCAAATCTCCCGCGCATTAAATTGACAAACTTAAGTACAAAGTACAAGCAAATACATCAGGAATTACCCAAAGGCTTTAACCCAGGAATCGTAGCATAAAGACAGCCTCACACACACACTCACACGCACACACACGCACACACACACACACACACACACACACACACACACACACACATAAACAACGGCGACGCGAAGCCATTTTGCAACGTGACTTTGACAGCAGTTTTCGAGCTGTGGGAAAGTTGCAAAACTTGCGCTTGACTCAGTTAAGCTGTTAATTAAGCGTATACACACACACCGGCACGCAAGCAACTCGCTCACACACTTACACACAAGCAACACACACACACACACTTTGCCCAACAGTCTTAAACTTAATGCTCATAGCTTAACCTCTTCACACACACACAAGCACACACGCATCCGTTTTGCACCCGAGCGCCACCTATCGTTTGCTTAAAACAGCCTCATTGCCTGCTCTCTCTCTCTCTCTGCCTCTCTGCCTGTCTCTCTCACTTTCTCTCTCTTACTCTCGACATGCCTTTGTGCCCATTTGTCATGTGTCATCCACTGTCTATTGTGAATTCGCTTTGTGCTCAGCCTCGCAGCATACATATGAATCGCTCGTTTTAGACGCTGTTATCGTAATCGTAATCGTATTTGTTATCGTAATTATTATAAGTACTCGTACTTGTTGTTTACCTTTGTTTTGTGTCTGACAATCGGTCAGTCAGTCAACCAGTCAGTCAGACAGTCATTCATTTAAGAACCATCCTCACATGCTGCCTGTAAATAATATCCGTTATCCAAATCCAATTTACCCCTCGTCCGTCACATTAACTCGATAACGATAACAAAAAACCCCCAACGATAATGCGCAGTCGGATGCGGAACGCGCACGCGAAGAGGCCGCCGCCCTGCAGGAGAAGTTGGAGAAGAGCCAGGGCGAAGTTTACCGGCTGAAGGCGAAGCTGGAGAATGCCCAGGGCGAGCAGGAGAGTCTGCGCCAGGAGCTGGAGAAGGCGCAGAGCGGCGTCTCGCGTATACACGCCGATCGCGATCGGGTAGGCAAACACTTTCAGCTAGACCATAGCCCGTTCCTCTCAAATCATCCCACTCCTACGATAGGCGTTCGCCGAGGTGGAGAAGATCAAGGAGGAAATGGAGCGCACGCAGGCAACGCTGGGCAAGGCGCAGCTGCAGCACGAGAAGCTGCAAAACACGCTGGACAAGGCACAGAACGAGGTCGATCATCTGCAGGATAAACTAGATAAGGCCGGCACCGAGAATCGACGTCTGGTGCTCGAAAAGGAGAAGCTCACCTATGACTACGATAATCTCCAATCGCAGCTGGACAAGGCACTCGGCCAAGCGGCGCGCATGCAGAAGGAACGCGAAACTCTCACGCTGGATACGGATCGCATACGCGAAAAGCTTGAAAAGACGCAGGTATGGGATGCCCCCAAGGTGCCACAACACACACAGACACGCACACCAAAGCAGAAACACACACAGATACACACGACACAGACGCCGAGCCATGCAACACGCGTAGATCTTGTTACCTAACCTGTGCCTAAACGTTGTCTATCAAATGTTACTGTAATGTGTTGTAAATACCTGAATCCCAATACTCAACTAACACAATAATCCCCCCTTCCTTCCTCACCAACCAACTGTACATAGCTGCTACTCAATATTGGTATATGGGCATTTCCGGCAAAAAGTTGATCTTAAAATAATTGAAAATAACATCAATAAACTCAGATAATATACTATATATTTAACATAAATTTTGACGTTACGTAATACGTAAAAGACATTACGAAATACGTAAGTGGCCTTAAGTAATTCGTAAGTAACGTTACGTAATACGTAACAGACGTTACGTACTACATATTTTACATGAATTTTGACCAAGAATAATGTTGCTAGATTAAGATGCCAATTGTGAAAATCGGAGAAGATATCGTAACAGACGTTACGTAATACGTAACGAACGTAACCAAATACGTAGCGTGTGTCGCACAACATAAAGTAAAAGTCTAAGAGACGACCTGAATTACATTTGACTCTTGAAAAAAGGATTATTCCATCTTCTTTTCTCGACAGTAAAGCCCTGTAAATGCCCATATACCATATATAGAACATACTAAACACCATTTGCGATGCATTATACATAAATATATATACACATATATATATAAATATATATCCTAAATGTATTGCCTATCGTATATATACGTATCTATCTTTCAACTATCTGCTATGTATGTATGTAACACGAACACTTTGAATACACCCATGAATACACTCAATAAAAAAAAAACAGATGCAGCTAGCGCGCATACAAAAGGAAAGGGATCAGTTCTCCGATGAACTGGAAACGCTCAAGGAGCGCTCGGAATCCTCCCAGACGCTGCTCATGAAGGCCGCACGAGATCGTGAGGCGATGCAAACCGATCTGGAAGTACTTAAAGAGCGCTATGAGAAATCGCATGCCATACAGCAGAAACTGCAGGTAATTTGAACCCAGAAACACACAAAGACAAGCGAGGTACAAAACAATTGGCTCTATAAATATATACATATATGTATATTATAATATATAACACTAATCGTAACTAATCAAAAACGCATGAGAAACTGAGAACTACCAGTGAATTGGCTGTTTGTAAATTTTGTAGCTTCCTTGAACACTGCTTGTGCCCAGCTGAAAGCCCCGATCCCTTCTAGATTTAATTTAAAGCTTGATCAAACCATTTTGCTCTTGCAGATGGAGCGCGATGATGCTGTTACCGAGGTGGAAATACTCAAGGAGAAACTGGACAAGGCTCTCTATGCCAGCCAGAAGCTCATCGACGAGAAGGACACCTCCAACAAGGAGTTCGAGAAGATGCTGGAGAAGTACGATCGTGCTCAGAACGAGATCTATCGCCTGCAATCGCGCTGCGATACCGCTGAGGCGGATCGCGCCCGACTTGAGGTGGAGGCCGAACGCTCCGGCTTGGCCGCCTCGAAGGCGCGCGAGGATCTGCGCAAGCTGCAGGACGAAAGCACACGGCTGCAGGAGGCCTGCGATCGTGCCGCTCTGCAGCTCAGTCGCGCCAAGGAGTGCGAGGATAATGCGCGCACCGAACTGGAACACAATCGGGATCGATTCGATAAGATGCAAACGGACATACGACGCGCCCAGGGCGAAAAGGAGCACTTCCAATCGGAGCTGGAGCGCGTCACCTACGAGCTGGAGCGTGCCCATGCGGCACAGACCAAGGCGGCCGCCAGCGTGGAGGCCGCCAAGGAGGAGGCAGCCCACTATGCTGTTGAGCTGGAGAAGCTGCGCGAGCGCTACGAAAAGAATCAGGTGGAGCTGCGCAAGCTGCAGGACACAGACACATTCGGACGTGAGACGCGTCGCCTCAAGGAGGAGAACGAACGGTTGCGCGAGAAGCTGGATAAGACACTGATGGAGCTGGAGACGATACGCGGCAAGTCGCAGTACGAGTCGGAATCCTTTGAGAAATACAAGGATAAGTACGAGAAGATCGAGACCGAAATACAGAACATGGAGTCGAAGCTGCACGAGACCAGTCTGCAGCTCGAACTGTCCAAGGGCGAGGTCGCTAAATTGCTGGCCAACCAGGACAAACAGCGCAGCGAGCTGGAGCGTGCCCATATTGAGCGTGAGAAGGCGCGGGACAAGCACGAGAAACTGCTGAAGGAGGTCGATCGTTTGCGCCTGCAACAGTCCTCGGTGAGCCCCGGCGAGCCGGTGCGCTCGTCCGCCGCGATCTCAGCGGGCGAGCGACAGGAGATCGATCGGCTGCGTGATCGCCTCGAGAAGGCGCTGCAGTCGCGCGATGCTACCGAACTGGAGGCCGGTCGCTTGGCCAAGGAACTGGAGAAGGCACAAATGCATTTGGCCAAACAGCAGGAGAATACCGAGTCCACGCGCATCGAATTCGAGCGCATGGGCGCCGAGCTTGGACGCCTGCACGATCGTCTCGAGAAATCCGAGTCGGAAAAAGAAGCTCTGCGACAGAGCAGTCGCGGCGCCGGTGCCGCCAGCGGCGCCCATCCACAGCTGGAGAAGCACGTCCAGAAGCTGGAGAACGATGTCAAACAGCTGGCCATGGAGCGCGAACAGCTTGTGCTGCAGCTGGAAAAGAGTCAGGAGATACTGATGAACTTCCAGAAGGAGCTACAAAACGCCGAACAGGAATTGCAAAAGACCCGCGAGGAGAATCGCAAGCTGCGCAACGGCCAGCCCGTTGCGCCCGCCGCACCCGCCGAAATTCAGGCCATGCAAAAAGAGATCCAAACGCTGCAGCAGAAGCTGCAGGAATCGGAGCGCGCCCTGGCAGCCGCGGGACCACAACAACAACAGGCAGCGGCAGCCGCAGCGGGCGCCAGCCGCGAGGAGATCGAACAGTGGCGCAAGGTTATCGAGCAGGAGAAGAATCGCGCCGACATGGCCGACAAGGCGGCCCAGGAGATGCACAAGCGCATACAGGTGAGTACAGCCGGAAGATCCGAAACGAAAGCCCCAGCTTCAACCCCATTTGCCGCACTTGCCAGCTGATGGACCAACACATCAAGGATCAGCACGCCCAGATGCAAAAGATGCAGCAGCAGATGACGCAACAGCAGCAGCAGGCAGCGCAGCAGCAGCAAACGGCGGCAGCCAGCGGCGGCGTCGATGCCAAGGAGCTTGAAAAGGTCAAAGTTGAACTGCAGGCGGCCTGCACGGAGCGTGATCGCTTCCAGCAGCAGCTGGAGCTATTGGTGCAGGAGCTCGAAAAGAGCCAGGTAAGCGAACGACTAAACCCAATTCCGACTAACTAAATAAGTGTGCACCCCTTGAGAATAGCTTAAGATAGAGAAAGAATGGTTGTGTGCAGAGATATGTGAAGGAAAGAAAGAAGAAAGAATATCTACATATAATAAAAAGAGAGAACCTAAATCAGATTGCGGTAAAGATTATTTTAAATTATCGATAAATCGATGACATCGATAAGAATCGATGCCCATATTAAAGCTATCGGAACTTATTGTATAAGAGCTTGAAAATTATATATATATGTATGTAGTATGTGGCTATGCTTTTTCTCATAGTCTACTATTTTACCTTTCACCATATTTCACCTTTAATCATATTTCACCAAAAAAAAAGTCTTTTAAACAAAGATACACAAAACTGTGAAAAGTTTTGAACGAAAAACATTTAGTTATTGCCCAAAAAGCGGGAAGAATTTAAAAATAAAAATAATAATGTTGAAAAGAAAAGAAGGGAAACAACTAAACGCTGAAAAAAAATCATAAAAATCGAACAAAAGGCTTCAAAGTTATTCGCAAATGCATTTTTCACGAAGAAGAATAAGCACAGTCGCAGCTTGCGCCGTGCGGTTGTATGTATGTGTGCGTGCGTGAGCATGTGCCAGGCAGAGCTTGATACAGGGTTGTTAGTCGGTTTTCAACACGATTCATCATGTTCGTTTTACCACCCCACCCCCCTCCACCTTTCCATGCAGTTGTCCAATCAGGAGCAGGCGAAGCAGCTGCAGACGGCGCAGCAGCAAGTGCAGCAGCTGCAGCAGCAGATCCAACAGCTGCAGCAGCAAATGCAACAGCTGCAGCAGGCGGGCAGCGCGGGCGCCGCAGCAACAGACGTGCAGCGGCAGCAACTGGAGCAGCAGCAGAAGCAGCTGGAGGAGGTGCGCAAACAGATTGACAACCAGGCGAAGGCTACCGAAAGCGAACGCAAGATAATCGACGAGCAGCGCAAACAGATCGAGGCCAAGCGCAAGGATATCGAGGACAAGGAAAAGAAAATGGCCGAGTTCGATGTGCAGCTGCGCAAGCGAAAGGAGCAAATGGATCAGCTGGAAAAGTCATTGCAGACCCAGGGCGGCGGCGCAGCGGCCGCCGGCGAGCTTAACAAGAAGCTAATGGACTCACAGCGGCAGCTCGAGGCGTAAGTAAAAGCGTTAACAGGCTATCAACTTACCCGACAATATTTATTTTATGATTTAGGCACTTAACACTTGCACTTTACCACTTAAACACAATATTAACTCTTTATTTTTCGCGAATTTGGCGCACGATGCGCCATTTTTTCAACAGTGTGACCGAACTATGTTACTTTTAAAATGCCTCGACAGCTGTTGGCATTAGCATAAGCATAACATATATCGAACATCGATAACTAGAGTTAACATAAGATGTTAATAACATAGCATGCCAGTGCAATGTTAAGAATCATTACATTTTACACCGAACATTGACCAGACTTAACAGAACAGATCATAACAGAGCACACGAATGCAATGTTAAGCACGCTGCTTACACTCTTATACTCATCATATTACGTGTTATATTTTCTGACCTTGCAGCTGCGTCAAGGAACTGCAAAACACAAAAGAGGAGCACAAGAAGGCGGCAACCGAAACGGAGCGCCTGCTGCAATTGGTACAAATGTCACAGGAGGAGCAGAATGCCAAAGAGAAGACTATTATGGATTTGCAACAGTGAGTATAAGTTAAAAAAAAAGAGACAGATTAACCAAAAAGCTAATCACTCTTATACTCTCGCAGAGCCTTAAAGATCGCTCAAGCCAAAGTCAAACAAGCACAAACACAACAGCAGCAGCAGCAGGACGTAAGTTAACATTAATTGTCTTATACACGCTGTTAAATTTAATCGCCTGCTGTTTTTGTTTACAGGCCGGACCCGCTGGCTTCTTGAAGAGCTTCTTCTAAACCGAAAGCGTATAAGTACTTGTCTCGCCGCAAGTATAAGTACAAGCCTAACACAACAAATAACAGCACTGTCTACTATTTTGTATACAACCGATTACCGATATACCGACTATGCAGTATTTCTTCTACTACTATGTACCACACACACACACACACATTTGTAAATGACATATGTAAATGCAAGCAAATTATTTGATATTTATTATATTGTAATTAGGTTGCCGCTATACTCAAATTATGAATGCATTTATGTAAATGTCAGATTTGTAACTCTCTCCATTTCGAACTTCAACTTAACTCTCCCTCTCAATCGATTTCGAACCCCTCTCTCTCTCACTCTCTCTTGCTCTTGCTCTCGCTGTCTGGTTAACAGTTTGTTCGTCTTATACGCTGTAAAGTAGACTACACTTTTCCAGCACCGGCTCGAATTGAGCTTACACGACATCCGATACCCTGTAAATGAACAATTTTATCAAATTTCAAAGTTCTCTACAAATATTTTGCACTTTTTCCAAGTTGTGTAAACTCAAATTGAGTTCGTTTTGTTTTAATCGGCACGATCCCCAGTTTTGCATACGGCGCGAATGTGATTCACAAAAGCAAGATAAAGCGAAACAAATGAATAAATCAACTAATTATTAAATATACATGCATAAATACTACATATAAATTGTTAGGCAACGTATCGTATAATTATGAAAAGTAGCTAACGATGTGCTAGCCTCTGTTATAGTTAGTTAAAAACTGAACAAATCCAAAATCGCAGAACATAAATCCATATATATACATATATATACTATATATTTATCAGACACTGTACATAGAGCATCTATCGTAGTCGTACGATCCGAATACGAATACAAATAAAGAGTAGAGCAATAAATTTATATATAACCCCTGATACGATTATATATGACGATAAAAATATATATATATATATATATGATACATGATATATATGCATATGTGTATAAAATATTGCGTAGCCTTTAGACGTGTACCAAAGAGTAAATTGCAAGAAACTATTACCAGAAATATGCCTAAAAACTCCGATTCAAACTCAAATTCAAATAGAATACAATTTAAAGCTTCATTAAATTCGAACTCTATTTTAATTAGTTCAAATATACATGACATCTATCGTACATAGAGATATAATTAAATACATATACAAGAATATCCCTAATCAAAGCATCTAGTTCAATTTAAACTCACGACTTCACACTTCACAGGGAGGGAACAGGGAATACCCCTAATATTCACTGTCAAACTCCCGTCTACAGACTTCACACTCAGCTCCCAGCTTTAATCTCTTGCTGTGAATGAACTTTGAGTTGAATCGATTCGGATGTAGAATAAAGGGAATATCCCTAATATTTGGGTTGAATCGATACGGAAGTAGAATAAAGGGAATACCCCTAATGTTCACTCTCAAACTTCCGCCTCCAGACTCCACACTCAGCTCTCAGCTTTAATCTCTTGCTGTGAATGAGCTTTGAGTTGAATCGATTCAGAAGTAGAATAAAGGGAATATCCCTAATGTTCACTGTCAAACTCACGCCTCCAGACTCTACAGGGAAGGAATAAGGAATACCCCTAATATTCACTGTCAAACATCCGCCTCCAGTCCACACTCAGCTCCCCGCTTTAATCTCTTGCTGTGAGGTGCATCGATTCGGCAATTGAATAAAGGGAATGCCCCTAATGTACACTGTCAAAGTTTGCTTTTTTATTTAGAAGAGTTTAGATAAATGCAAATGTGTTATTGTTATCATACAAATGCATACATATATATATATGCTAGCATACAGTATATATATATATACATATATTTACATATAAAAAAATAATATCGTCTAGCGAAATATATATATATATATATATAGAAAATTATTAGCTTTGTTTTCACATTTTGTATTCTTTCAAACAAAGATTATTAACACTGCCAATGTTTCCATACAAATTAAATATGTTTATTTCATTAAAGAGGAAGAAAAATCCAAAAAAAAAAGAATTCTGTTTGAATTGAAGCTAATCAAAATAAAATGCAACATTAGCGGTACTCCCGTCACGCATAAGCACACACTTTTGTTTATTAGCGGAATACCCCTGTGCTACAACACCCCAGACCGCGCCCGAGACATTCAGATTCAACAAACAATCATATCATACAACTAAATATATATAAATATATACATGACTAAGCGTCCCACACACTCGCAATAGTTATCGATAACAAATCGATAGACAAATGCAAACCGAAATAAGGCAATTTCTTTTTTATACTTAGAACCAAGGCAAAGCAAAGCGAAAAAAAGTGCTCATCAAATCAACAATCGATAAATCGATAACATATTTAAATCTCTATCGATATCGTTATCGTTATCGCTATCGATAACATTGTCAGTCAGTCAAAAATATCGCAATACTCACACATTACGTTAATTATATACATATATATATATATACGCTGTTTATCGTTAGTTGAAGCAATGTTATCGAATCAACACATTCGATAGGCATTCGCTTTGTGTGTACATAACTAAGGGCCCCCTAAAAAGTTCCTAAACTAGGAACGACGGGTAAAGCGCACTTAAACGAGTTGCAAGTCAAGTAATAATTAAACACTTTTTTGCCGCCAAACATTGCCAACAAATGTGCCGGGCAAATGTGTACATAAACATATAACTATATCTATATCAATATATATATATATATAGAGAAAAGGTCGAAGGTTAAGCATAACACAAGCTGTATTATATATGACACGACATATGATATGCCCCACAGTTAACTCTCTATATATGCCATATATACTTAGCATCGATACTTGCATAAAACTACTCGTAAGTACACTCGAAAAAAAAAGAAGACACAATTAAAAGGACAAATCAACAAACTGCGCATACACAACGTTGACAATATTTGACAGGCACACACACACACACACACAACAACTTTGTCGAAATTAAAAGTTTTTCAATTTCTGTTGAAAGCCAACATATCCCCAATACATATATATATATATATATGATATAGCACCAAATATAATATAGAGCATGTAAATGAAGAACAACTATTTATTTACATAAATATATATATATATATATAGATATACAAACAACTCTCTCTCTCTCTCTCTCTATCTCTATCTCTTTCTGTAAACAAACAAATTTCCAATTTGAAAACAAAGGAAATTTCAAGAAAACACTTGCCTTTAAAGTATGAACAAGTTCTAATTCATATTATATTATTAGCCTAGATAGTTGCAACTACAACAAAAGAGATGAAAACTAAATTAAAAACTAACGGTACATTGTCTATATTATATACATATATATATATAAAAAGCAAACATAAGTTCTAATAATACAATTATAAATAAAAACACTTTAATCATATTATCCCCGCCGTCGTGTACCCAGATTACAAACTAAAACGTAAAACTCGTACAATTAATACAAATTAAATAATAGTAATAATAATAATAATAATAATATTACAATTAATATTAAATAAAAAAAAAACACAGCTTCAACATTTTTCTATACAAATAAAAGCAACAACAACTAGAAATTCGATTATGTAATTAGCATACTGTAAACTCAATGTTATAGGCACACACACACACACAGACACACGCGTACACACTTAACAGTAAGTTGCCCAATGAATTTAACAGAAATCGCAAACAGAGCTTTGGTTAATTTATTTGATTTTTTTTTAGTAAATGGTCACACTGAAAGCAATACACACACACACACACACACACACACACAGCATAGATAAGCGTATTTAAAAAGTATAGAAAAATAGCGCAAATTATATAAACATATATATATATATATATATATATACATATATAAATAAAAGCAAACATAGCAGAGTACAGTGGGCCGAGAACGTGGAAAATGAGATCAAAATTGTAACAACAACAACAACAACAGCAAGCAGTTAACTTGTTTAGAGAGAAGCGCAAAAAGCAGTTTGAACAAAATACTAGGCAAACAAATACCAAAAATACCAAAAAAAAATTCGTGTATACATTTTTTTAACAAGTTTGGTGATCTACGATATTGATTATTGATAAATAAAAACATAAACAAATACTTATATATATATATACATACATTATATATATAGTTAAGCCATGATATATATACACATACACACATACATACATACACATATATATATATAAATATATATATATATATTATACATATATGAACTAAATAAGTTTACAAGGTATATGCATTAAAAGAAAAACCGCAGCAACTAAAACAACATAACATAAAATAATATGAGTAAAAACAACAACAACAAGAAAAACCACAAAATAAATAAATTTATTATATACATACATAGAAGAATATTAAAAAAACAAAAAATACGAGATGAAATGGTATGAAATGAAACGATTATTTGAAACATGTTCATTATATATAAATGTCATTACAAATGTTCTTCAAAACTGCCTACCAATAAAATATATTTCAAATAATATGCAATTTGGTTTGTACTCAATTTGAGCGGAAAATGGGCGGCTTGATTCCACTGTACTTGCAAGCATATAGAAACTTGTGTTTCAAATATGCCGGGCTTGTGCGGCAAGCGCTGCCAACTTCACGTCACTCAATTGTGCGCCAGCCTGCGCTCAATTTTGCGCTAACAGAATAGTGGCTGCGCAATATTGCGTCAACACACTGTAAAGCCAAACTGCTTGCACAGCAAGCAGCGCACAGGCAGCGCCCGCTGTTGACGGCCGCAAGCAGTGGCTATTTAAAGTCCAATCAGAAAACCTTACTTTAAGAAAAAACAATTTAAATAAAAGCAATAAAACATTTAAATTACAAAGCAATTATCTAAGCCACAAAGAAATTGCATTTGTTTTGCGCTGCGGCTGGCATAAAACGCACTCATGCATTATGCTGCCTTATTGGTTTCATTCGGTATTCTAACCAGAAACTAACCAGATTTTGGCCTGCTAAATGGTGCCACAAATTGGAAAGAAGCAGCAGCAGCCCACGCAATTGGAATCGCAGTGCCAGCTGCCCTATACAATATTAAAAGTTAAACACCCACACACACACACACACACCCACACACACACCCGCACAGAGCATGATGTAATCATATATATATGCTTATATACACACACACACATACAAATGCGCGTTGGGGTCACATGTAGCATATACCGTTACCACGCACACACATACATACACACATATATGTAAGTACTTAGAAACATACGCACACTTGCACGGACGGCATATGTACAGTTAGTTATTACTGTCCAATTGGATTACTGCTCTCGCCGCTCTGCAGCGGCAAAAGCTCAGCCCATCCCCGAAACGTTTGCAGCCCCTCGCATGGATGGGCGCATGTGCTGCCCCGCCGCTGTTGGCGTCGGCGTCGGCGTCGACGTCGCTGCCGCTGTTGCTTTTTATCGATTGACCCAATTTTTGGGTACATATTTTTACATAGTTGAGTTTTCTTATCGCGAGCTTCCTTTTTTTTCTGCGCATACTTTTTTTTGCTTCTCTGGGCACATTCCAATGGCTTCGTCCTTTCAACGTCCTTTCCACAGCTTAAAAGCTTTTCCTTTTTCATTTTCATTTTCCTTTTGCAATTTAATGGCCAAATTCTGTTGCATACATATATATTTATGTATTAGATTTTCGGGGGTGTGGTCTTGCCTCTGCCTCTTCCTCTTCCGCTTCTTCTTCTCGTTCTTATTGGGCTTGGTTATGCACGCTGCACGGTCTTATTAGCTCATTATGTCATCAGCAAAAACCGCCTTCCAAATGGAAATTTGATGAAACTAACGGAACTTTAGAATTCCAATTGGCAAACACTGCTGCCAGTTAGTTTAACTAAATGCCAACAACTAAGTTTTAATTCTCAATATTTAGCCGGAAAATGTTTAAAACAACATGCGGAAGTTATAATTCTGATTTGAACACCAATAAAGTAAGGGGAATTTAGAAGAGGAGGCAATATTCATATCTAATTGGATTGTTAACATTGTGTACTTTCCAATTGGATTGCGTGTACTGGAATTCGACGCATTTTTTAAACATTTATGCTAATTAGATGTAACTCGACAATTCCTAGGGCTTTACTGTAGCATATCCAATTGGATAAGTATCATTTGGGATAGGGAAACCTACATCCAACTAGATTTCCAAGCCAAGCATTAGCATTAAAGGAAAAAGGCCCAAAGGGATATTTACAACTGAAATCTAACTAGATTAACTATATAACGATTTCCCAATAGGAATTATACAAGTCTTACTAGCTTAATGAACATTTTCCCAACAAGAAATATACAAGTCTAACCAGATTTATAACTGGACTTAAGTGTGGCCATTAAAAAAGTTTAGTTACAGCAAAATTTCCCTCAGGGCATATTTAGACAATTCCAATTGGGTTATGGAATTGTTGCCCAATCTAACTAGATTTTCAACAAACATTCATCAAGTGCCGTTTTTCAAGGCAAGCAGTGTCCCATTTAACAAATACTTCAGACAATACATATGCATATTTATATATATATGTGTGTGTGTGTGTGTGTGTGTGTGTGTGTGTGTGTGTGTTGATTTGAGAGCATAAACAAACGATTATCCGGCCGACCCAGAAACATATTTGTGCAGCACAAATTACGAGCACAAGAGTTTCCAAAAGAAAAGCCAAACAAAAAATAATGAGCAGCAGAATAAAATGTTAACAAAATAATGGGCCGAAATAAGCATAAAGTGTGGTTATGTACGCAGGCACATACACATGGATAAATGTGTGTGTATGTGTGTGTGTGTGTATGGATATGCCGTACTCACTCGCATATATATGACACGTGTAATTGACCTACTTTCCCTATTCGACAGAGCAGCACATACACATGCATACATATGTATGCATACACGCACACATACAATGCCGTAGATACGCATAGAAACACACCAATACGCATGCAGCAAAAGCGCGCAAGAGAGAGAGAGAGAGAGAGGGAGAGGCGCACACTTAATACGTATCGATAGGCGTATAACAGCTGGGCAACACTGTAATACACTTGTGTGTGTGTGTGTGAGTGTGAATGCAGCAGCGCCTTGATCAATGTTCTTTGCTATTGACACGTTAATAGCCGCAATTTGTTTTCATTTACCGATCAAAATTATGCTGTCACACACACACACACATACAAACTAGATAAATAAGTATGTATGCCTATGTAGTCGCAAAGCTTTTTACAGCAGCAAAGCTCGCTCTCTCTCTCTCGCTCGCTCGCTCAGTCGCCACCAGCTGTATGTACAATATATGTATGTGTGTTGGCTTTGTAGCTTTGCTGTGAGCGACAAATTGTTTTGTAGCCGACGACCTATTTATTTGTGGCCAGCTGCGCAGCGTTGCCGTACGTTCGTAACAGATACACACAAGCAAAATGAGAATACCCCCCTCCCCCACCTCCTCAACTAACACGCCCTTTTAATATACACGCCCCGCTGTTTAATCGAATGCAGCGTTTTATTGAACGAAGAGAAAAAGAAGACTTTTCTGTTACATACATTTATACTCTTTATCAGGCATGTACATGCAAACATACATATGTGCAATACGTATCTGTTAGATAGTTCTGTTTGTTCTTTGTCGCGACAGCGATAAAGTCAATTAGCAGAAAACATGCGCTCAAGTGCAAAACGCTGGCAACGCCAAAAACAAAAAAAGAACACATAAAGGAGCGAGTAATTAATTAGCTCAAGAGTCAAACACCCACACATGCACACACACATGCACGTCGCATGCACACATGCACACATGCGCATGCACACACACATGCACGTCGCATGTACACATGCACACATGCGCATGCACACTCTTTGCCCCCCGACCACGCCCACGCCCACGCATAGCTGGAGCCAGCTGATTTAATTGCCTGGCGACAAAAAGCAAAGAAAATTGCGCAAATTTGTAATTTGTTTTTCATTTTTGTTTTTAATTAAGTTTACACAGTTCGCTGGCGTATCTGTCAGATACATGCGTCAGATATTTACAAGCTAGTCGGTCGAATCGATCGCAGTGCTAAGAACTTGGCCCATTGCCTATTTGGGTTTTTGCATCTGCCGCGTCGCCAGCTGCTGGCCAAATTGTCTGGCAAACACTGCAAAAGTATCTGCAAGATACGGTGCCACATTTGTTTGACTTTAGCCCCAAATTATTCGGCAAGGCAAACAACACTCGTGCATTTGTTTGGGTTAAGTCCTCTTCGCTTTGGGGGTCTTTGCCGCACGCTACGTGACGACGCGCTGCTGCACCGCAAAGTTGTGTCCAACTGTCATGAAGTATCTCTGATTTATTTCTGTACGTGTTCGATGTCGCCGCAAGACGTAACGAGTAGACGCAAAGATACTCTGTTTTCCTCGCTATAGACAATGCACTTGCTTCACTTCCTTGTCTATAACTCAAGGAATCGGAGCTTTAGCTTACGAAATACATTTCAAATGTTGTTGCAAGTTCTACGAGAACCTATATACCAAATGTCATGTCCCTAGCTTTTATAGTCGCTGAGTTCCTTGAGGTGTATAGGCCTTACTTGTCTATAAGTCAAGGAATCGAAGACTTATCTTCCAAAACACCCTTTTAATCTTATTGCAAGTTCTACGAGAGCCTATATACCAAATTTCATGTCCCTAGCTTTTATAGTCGCTGAGTTACTTGAGGTGAATATGCCTTATTTATCTATAACTCGAGGAATCCGATATTTATATTATAAAACACAGCTCTAGGTTAATGAGAAGTTTAACAAAAACTTGTATCCCAAATTTCATGTCGCTAGCTTTTATAATTCCTGAGTTACTTGAGATGAATAGGCCTTAACACATTGTCTCTGGTTCGGCTCGTTAGCCAGTTATTCCATTCTATTTAGACGACTAGCTTGCTTAAAGTTAACTTAAGTTCTGGCTTCTATTGTATAGTTTTTATAATGCGCTATATAAGTTGTAAATATTTATTAGATAAATCTAGAGTTTATAACGACCTAAATACACACTCACAAACTCTATTAACTGTGAGATAATATGCTACAATTCAAATTCCTTGATAGCATACCATATAAAAAATAAAACCAATTCTTAACTTATCTAAAATACATACATATATGGAATACACGTAGTCCTCAAGAGTTACGAGTTAGTGATCAAAAATCTATAGCACACGTAGAAAAGCAATAGATATGATGATGATGAGTTAGGATCTCTTAATACCAATATCGTTTATTACGATATATAAGATATATCGTTATTTACGATATATAAGATATATCGTTATTTACGATATATAAGATATATCGTTATTTACGGTACGTCGGTATTTACGATACATAAGATATCGATATTTGCAATATATCGATATATCGATATTTACGATATACAAGATATATCATATTTACGTAAGATAGCCCGATATTTACGATATTTACGATATATCCGATATATCGATATTTACGATATATACGATATACCGATATATACGATATATCGATATTTACGGTATATCCGTTATATCGAAATTGACTATATACCCGATATATCGATATTGACGATATACCTGATATCGATATTTACGATATAATATATATCTCTATTTACGATATACAAGATATATCATATTTAGGTAAGATAGCTTGATATTTATGAGATAATATATATCGATATTTACGATATATCCGATATATCGATATTCAAGTCAAATAAACCTATCGTGTGCATTGGGCATGATCTAGGAATCGATATGATGTGGATTGGGATGAGTTATGTGTGGAAACTATCTTAGAAACTAGGCTTAGCATATCAATCTGATCTCTCGGGACTGGACATGGGATCGCCGCCAAAGGTGACCTCCTTGGACACGAAGGAGGTGGGCGGTGCCATCGCTTCCTCGCGGCGCCTCTTCTGGGCGCCAAACCGTTTGTTCCGCTTCATGTTGGTGAATCTCACATAGATCTTGCCGCGTCGCTCGGTGCGATAGAAGCAGAGCTGCTCCTTGGGGAAAAGCTGCAGAATTTCGCGCTCCAGCAGGTGACTGCGCTGCAGGGTCAAATGCAAACGATTGTCCTCGTAGTAGCTGCAGATGAGCTGGATCAGCAGCAGGCGCTGCACTGCATCCAGCTGCTCGTTCTGGCCCAAACGCTCCAGCAGGGATTGCGCCTTCACTGGCGATGCCTGCAGTATGGACAGTACGGTGACGCCGCTCTCCTCGCTGACATCCGGTTCGGTTATTTCCGGCTTGATCAGATCCGCCGTCACCAGCTCCGTGTGGACCAGTTCGCTGTGATCGCCCAGCGGCAGCGGCACATTAAACTGCGATCCATCCGTCATCTCGTTGAGCGTCACAAATGGCTCCGCCGGCAGCTGCTTGGATCGACTGTCGTCCAACAGATCGGACTTGGAATGGCTTTTCGTTTGCTGGAAGCTGTCGCCCGAACAGCGACAGCCGCTGCAGTGGCCCATGTGGGTGGCTCTGCCGCTGCAGGGCGACGCATCCTGCAGCGGCACATTGAGCCAGCGGCGCCAGCGTTCCAGATGATGCTCAAACCGAATCCGTGTGCCATAGCGAAAGTTGCGCAGCAGCTCGTTCAGATGATGCCGCTTCAACATCTGCAGCTCCTGCATGTTAATTGCCTCCTCTGTGTGCGCGTGGGTTGTATAAGAGTTAACAGTCGTATAAGTGTTATCAATAGTATAACAGAATTCGAACAGAATTCGTACAGCACTTTTATTGCTTTCATTATTCTACGTTCGGTTCGGTTTCGTTCCGTTTTGTTTTGTTTTGTTTACCTTGCAAATACGGCAACAGCTCGCTGACGTTCCAAGATTTTAACAGTTGAGCCAGCTCCTCGTATTCGCCGCTCTTTGGCATGTTGTCTGTGTAGATGGATGTGTGCGTGTGCGTGTGCATGTCGAAGCTGTGCATGTTTCTCTATGCATGCATGTATGCATGTATGTATGTATGTATGTGTGTGTGTGTGTGTATGTACGGCCTACAACCGGGCGTACATCCTTTCGTCACGAACGAAACTGCGGCACTGAATTTTGCAACAGGCGCGAAGCGCGTACATACCCTCCGCTATACCTGGGACACACACACACATACTCACACACAGCTGCAGCTCGCGCGCGTATGTGTTTCGTCGCTGTTTGTATACGCTCTGTGTGTACATACATACATACATACATAGTACAGTCATGCCATCGCTTTGGTTTCATCGTTTCGTCGTTTCGTTGCCTGTGTTTCGTCGTACGTTGTTCGCGTTTCGTAGTCGTCGCCGTCGCCGTCGTCGTCGTCGTCGTCGTCTTTTCATCGCTTTCATGCCTTAACGTGCGCTTATGTATGCATGCATGCCAGAGGCGTAGTTCGAGGGGGTCACTCGACTCCAACTCTGGTTCAACGAGCGAAAATCTCGTTTGAAATTTGTTGTGGAATATTTCTAATATGATTCGTAAAGCGTATTGAAAATTTTCTTGTTATTCCAATTTTTTCTCATTATAGTCACTTTTTTCACTTTATATGCAAAGGCTTACCTGTAACTTCTTTTATATGCTCACACATAAATATAATAAATTGCACACTCAGCTTTAAATTCGATTAACTGCAAACGAAGCCCGCCCCCCTTCGAAAAAGTTGTTGACTACGCAGCTGCTTGTACGAATGTAAGTATGTTTACATAATACTTAAACATGTGTTATGTATACATAATACACACATGTGCACACATACATGTGCATGCGGCATAAGTGTTGTTTTTATGTAAATACATGCACACATAAATGCACACACACAAACACATACATACATACATACGTACGTTGATAAAAGCTGTTTAAATATTCGCAACACTCATTTGAAAAGAAAACGAACTCTGGCAGGCTTCGCAGCGCACAAGCTCTGGCAACGCTGCCCGTTCAATGTTGTTGTTGTTGTCTTTTACTGTTGATCGTTTATGCGTGGCGGCGGCAGTTTGAACTACTGAACTGCACCCCCCCCCCCCCTCCCCCACCCTTTCATTATGCTCGCATGCACTTGGTTTCTTTTTGGCGCCCACCTTTCAGCGCTGACTTCTGTGCGCTCCGGCCCACGCCCCCACGCCGCCTCCGTTCCGCTCTGCACGCCTTTTGTCTAATGCATTCTGCTGCCTGTGCAGATGTGCAGCTGGCCAGTCTCCCGCTCTCCCGCTCTCCCGCTCTCTCTCTCTCTCTCTCTCTCTCTCGCTACCCACTGCGTACGACTCGAACAAAACTTAAAGACGTTTGGAGTCAAAGTCGGAGCTGCTGCGGTTTAGGGTGAGGGCAAGGGGCGCGGGCGCGGGTGCGGGTGCGGAGCTGGTTGTGTAAAGTAGCCAAGCGCTACGCAGGTTCAATGAACTTCTTTTGTAAATGTTTTTCTTGCTGCTGCTTTTCGTTTTCTTTTTGGTTTTTGTTTACTTGGCCCGCTTTATTGTCGCTGTTGTTCTTCTTCTAGTTGTTGTTGTTGTTGTTGTTGTTTTCTTCTTCTTTTTTTGGGCTACAAAAAGACTTTTCGTAGTTTTGAGTATTTTAATGTTTCTCTCATTTTTCTTATGGGCTTGGTTCTTATGACAAAGCCACAGACGACGCTCGCTTCAAATGCTTTATCTTATCATTATCTCACGCTAAGCAAGTAGGGTGCTAGGGGGGGGGGGGGGGGGGGGGGGGGGGGGGGGAGTAATAATAAACGAATGCGCCTTGCAACGGGCTGCAAATGAACGACCTTCTTTGCCTTTTGCGTTTCGTTTTCAATTAACGGTTGTTCGCTCGGCGGCTACCTGATGCGACTACCCTCTCCCCGCTTCTTCTTCCTCCTTCTCCTCCTCCTCCTCCTCTCCTTCTTCTTCTAAAACGGTAATGAGCTCCGCGTTTTGGCAATTTTGCGAGTGGAAATTGAAGCGCTGCTCATTAATTGTGCACGCGTTAGCATCTTTTTAGCAGGCACTGTCTTCGGTTGGCACCTTTTTTTAGCAGGCACTGTCTTCGGTTACCAATTAAGTGCAACTCGTGTAAAGTTAAGCGCAGCTAAAGATGCCAATTAGATTTGCAAGGCAACGATTTCGTTTGTTTAATTTAAACAAGTAGACATGCCTATTAGGCGGGTGTGATCGACTAGCAGATACCCTGGACGCAGGCTTAAGTATGGCATGGGAATTCCTTTTTTACATATCAATTTGTCAATTATGGGGGAATTAAAACAGGAAGGCGCAAATCGAGGCGGGTGTGATCGACTAGCAGATACCCTGGACGCAGGCTTGAGTATGGCATGGGAATTCCTTCTTTACATATCAATTTGTCAATTATGTGGGAATTAAAACGAGTAGACGCAGATTGAGGCGGGTGTGCCCGACTTACAGAATACCCTGGACGCAACAATGTTTGCGTTATAATATACAAGAATTCATTTCCTAAATATTTGTATTTCACAATCATGGGCGAATTAAAACAAGTCAGTCTTCTCTAGGCGGGTGCTTCCGACTAGGAGATACCCTAAACGCAGGAATCTTCAGTGTCCGAATCTTATAATAAACATAAATTTCTCAGTCAAATAGGTTTATTTCTCGATTGCGGGAGATTGAAAGAAGCTATCCAAAAAAGTGAACTCTTCTCAAAATTATTAACTATATATAACTATTTATAACTAAATCGGTTTTAGTCTAAGCTATGGAAATGGCAGGAGTTAACAGTTATAGACGGACAAACGGACAGATCAGATCGTTCCACTGATCAAGAACATATATCTTACAAGGTCAGAGACACCATTACCCCTTTTCCAATGGGTTTACGCTCTAAAAAGTCAGAAACTGGAACTGAACGCCGCGTATATACCCTATTAATACGATAATTAGCTGTAGCTTTTGGCATATGTCCGACATATTTATATTATTTAAGAATCTGTAATATTAATAAAACCTATTTTCTCTAGTCGGGTTCTCTCACGAATGCAATCAATGTCCAAATATTGTCGCATCATTATTCAGCATCATCATCCAGTTCGATACACTTTTCAAGTTCTATTTCTGCTATCAAGTGCCACTCTCTCTCTCTCTCTCTCTATATATATATATATACAGATCTATATATAAATGATATAGGTATATGGACTGCTCGGGCAGACTGCTTGGCGTTTGCTTGTGCGGCGATATCAGCGCCCCATAAATAACGCGCCTTAAGATCGATGTAGAATTTTAACTGAGCTCTGATATTGGGAATATTTTTTAGACATGAGCCTCTGGAATATAGATTTTCTATAGAAGAGTAGAAAGTCGGAGTAAAAAACTAAAATAACTATATCATATAAGATACTTCCCCTGATAAATAAGTTATTAAGTCACGTATTTTTCAAAATTATGAAGGATTATGATCCAGTTCAGGTTCAGTTGCGACAACTAGTTCCGTTCACGATCAGTTATAAATGGAATAACAAGCTGGAACCAGTTCAAAATCTTAAAAACTAAACTAAAACAAATGGAAGAATTCAGTTCACAATTATAAGAGATTATAAGTTCAGGTTCAGGTTCAGTTGCGACAACTAGTTCCGTCCGAGCTGGAACCAGTTCGGATTATGATATAATACAAACACCTTTTTGAACCTAAGTAAATGTAATCTTTTATCTTTAAAACTTAACAGAACTATATAATACTTCCTACAGTTCCAGTTTTCAACTAGAAGAATCAAGGTCACAATTATAAGAGGTTATTAGTTCAGGTTCAGGTTCAGGTTCAGGTTCAGTTTCGACAACTAGTTCCGTCCGAGCTGGAATGGAATAACAAGCTGGAACCAGTTCGGATTATGATATAATACAGCAACCTTTTGAACCTATGTAAATGTAAGCTGCTAATGAGTTTCGAAATAAAAAATTGACTTAATAAGCCTGAATAGCTCAACTGATTGTGAATGGAAATGGTCGCGATAATATCAAGTAACATTCTATACCCCCCCCCCCCCCCCCTGCTGCAGTGCCAACTGGTTTTGCGCACAAAAAGATACATAGATACTTTCCACCCCATAGATAGAGATACTTTCGTGTGACGCATAAACTATTGCGATTGCATTCCGTCGCCGCGTCGCTGCGATAAGACGCAATATTTATATGGCCAAAGTTGTTGTTTTGCGTCGGAATGAAAAATACCTTCAGGTAGAATGAAAAACAAAGAAACTGCATGCATACATACATATGGAAAATGTCGCTGCTCAAAAAGAATGCAAAGAAAACATGCGCAGTAGAAATTGCGACACAGGCCACGGGGTTGCCCGAGCCGAGGGCGAGAGGGTGAGAGGGGTGCGCGGTGGGCTGCGACCAAAGCCAGAGCCAAGAACTTGCATGCGGCGAAGTGGAGCACTGGGTCGTTCGCTTGGCAACAGAAATGCGCCGAGCGAAATTCCGCATAACTGATAAGAGGCGGGCTTCTAATCAAATTCATTGCGGAAACAATACATATATATAGATGTGTGTGTGTGTGTGTGTGTGTGTGTGTGTGTGTAGAGGAAACTACTTGATGCCCCTTGAGTTTTGTTACATTATCGAGAGGCTAACTGCGCAGCTTTGTGTTCGCAGCAGCGGCAATTTTTTGGCATTTCCAGGCAAAATTTCCTTCCAACGCGCTGATAACGGCACATGTCCAAAGCGAACGCTGGCTGCGGCTTACGCCAATAAGCGTGACATGCGGCACATGCAGACATTTTGGGCGGCTTAGAGAGCTTAAAAGCTGCGTGACGACAACTGCGACGCCAGCGATGACGTCGACGCCGACGCCGACGACGAGCTGTTTGTCTCTCTGGGTGACCTACACTGGCTTCCCCTGCAGCAGCATACACACACACACACACACACACACACACACACACACACACACACACACACACACACACACACACACACACACACACACACACACACACACACACACACACACACACACACAGACACACAAAAGAGCGTCGTCAATGTATATGCACACACACACACAGGCATGTACATGCACACATATATACAACTGCATATAAAAGCACAAACTGACACACATATGCATGTATGTGTAAGTGTACATATATGTATGTATGTATAGAACGCATTTTCGGTTGAAAACTGGATGGTCGCAGCGAAAGGCAAAGGCTGCGCCGCACATTCGCCAACGATTATTCGCTGGCATTAGACGCGCATATTCCAACAGCTGGAACCGTATACCGAGCGAGCTGCCAACTGGCAATTGTTTGGGGTCAGTCATTAAGTTTTCAGCAAGGCAAACGGTAAACGCTCCACGCAAAAGAAAGAGAGAGAGAGAGCAAAAGAAAAAAATATTGTGTTTCGTCAAGTCAGGCATTTAACTACGTTTATGCGAAAATCCCTAATCGTGATAAACAATTAAATCGAGTTATGAAAAATGCATAAAAAAAAACTGGACTGTTTGGAAATTGGCTGGAATTTTCACGCTATCACGATTAAGGAATTTCACATAAATGTTTTAAATCAAAGAAGCTGAAAAAACTGTGAGTATATGTATATGATATTGTGCACAGCGCTGGAAGGGTCATGTATTGGAATTTACAATTACTTTTTTATAACACTGTTATACAACACTGTATCATTAAAGTTCTGTAAGTACTAAATTCACAATAATATCAGAATTGCAAGAGTTTCTATCATATTTTGTTACTTCAAAAATATACTAAACGGAATACCGTTTAGTATTTAAAATACTAAAAAAAAAACAACAACACAATGTTTGAACAATTATTGGAATTTGAACCTGAACCGAGTTCTCAGCCCTGTCAGTTGCCCGTCTAATTAGTCACTCGTGCGCATTTCAAGGTTTTCCAGTTGTTAACTATATATGTAGTTGTCTATGCATGTGTGTGTGTGTGTGTGTGTGTGCGAAATTAGAATTTTAAAGTTCAAAAGCGCAATGTGCAAAGCTGAGCTCCAATGTAAAGCCAGTTCCAAACTTCCCACTGACTTAACAGCACACATACATACATATGTATATTCCCCCCCTCCCCTTCTCCAGCTGTATGTGTATGCATATGCATTTGTTTTAGTAACACACTCATTTATCTGTAAACATTCGAGTAGAACTAGAGAAGCTCAATTAAAACGAACGGACGTGCACGAAAACATGTTTTCAGTTTTATTATTGTGCCTTCTCGTATTATACCCTGTAACCGTTGAGCATGGATTAAGCTGGCTATATTAGCATTTTGGTGGCAACTCTTGCCATACTCATTTATTTACGATAGTTAATATAAAGAAGAAGAACACTTACCATCTTGTTACACACATGCTCATCTTTACTTCTCAATAATAGGGTATCTTCTAGTTGATCACTCAAACGGCGCACTCTTGATTGTTGTTGCGGCGGCTGCTGCTGCTGCCCGATGACAGTTATCTTTGGGGAAAACTCAACTGGGCAGCACTGGCAAAAGCACACTGTGTGTGTGTCCGACATTCGTATATGCATATGTATGTATGTGTGTATGAATAACATTAATTTTTATGCGACGACAGCTGATGTGACAACAACCTGAATTGACAAACAAAGACGCAAGGTTTTATGAGCTGAAAAAACTTTCTAAAAAGAACATCTGTTTAAGTTTATAGTTAGAAACAGGAACTAGTCAGAAAAGATTTAAAATGGGTCAAGAATAAATTAAGGTTTGACATCATTTTATAAGGTTAACGAAAGAGTGAGAAAGATACATACATGCATACATGCATACATGCGTACATGCATACATGCATACATTCCTATTAATACATTTCCGCTTGGCATTCAGTCATTTTGGGAATTTTTCAGAATTTCCCAACAAAATTCCCTTTTACCCATTAACAGCATTCTGTATGATGCTGCTTGACGCGGGCAGGGAGGAGAGGGGCACTGCGTGTAGATTGCAATTGAAAGATTGCCGAGCAGCCAAATGCGATCGTGCTGGAAGAGCGCATTAACTTTTAACCCAAAAAAAGAACAAGAAGAAGAACAACAACAAAATGATCTCTTCTTTGTCTCGGCATTTGGCCAGTTTGTGGTTAAACGTAAACATGGCTGAAAACCAAATGAAATCACATGCAACACACGTTTCGCTCGTAAAGGCGGCAAGAAAGAAGGCAAAGTCCAAAGAGTCATAAAACATGCACACATGAGTCGTAGAAAAGGGCCGCGGGGTGCAAGGGGGAGGGGGGGGGGCAGTGGCAACAAATGCTGCGGCAGCTTTCTTTCGTTGAACGAGTTGCGTGGCTTTTAATTTTGAGCATAAAACATAAAACGCAATAAGGCCAACAACAACAACAACAACAACAACAATATGGCAGCTGTGGCGTCATCGCCAAAAGTTTTGTTTCGCCTTTTGGAACTGGTTTTGATTTTCGTTTCTCTTCATGTTGATGTCGTCATCATTAAGCAAAGCGTACAGCAATAGGCAACAATAACAAAAACAAGAAGAAGAACAATAAAATTAGTCATTTGATGCAATTTCCGCCCACTTGATGTTTGCAACTGCAACTGCAGCTGCAGCTTTCACATGACAAGTGCAACAACAACAACACGAGCTACTTAACGAAGGCAAAGTTAACAGCGTGGGGGGGGGGGGGGGGGGGCAAAGCAGGTTGAAGAAAAAAACGCGCGCGCATTTGCACCAATAACCCAGTTTCGGTTTCTAGTTTGCACTTAGCGCGCATACAAAAGCTTCGTCTGTGTGTTTGTGTGTGTGTGTGAACATGTGCAATGTGGTAGGCACAAGAAGTGAACACGAAGAAGCAAAGAAGAAGCAGAGAATTGCAATGCAGCGAAAAAAAAAGCAAAGCTGTTATTGCTGCCTTTCGTTGAGTTGCTGTTGTAAATAACAAGTTTTCTAGCTGTGCAAAGTGATGACACACTTTTTACACACACACACACTCGCTGATTGGCAAGCACATATACATACATATGTATTTTTATGTTCGTCTGTATGTATATGCACGCTGAGTGCTTCCTGCGGTCACTGTCCACCCCTCGCCCACCCCGCTGCCCATAAACTAATCACAGGCATTCGCTGGCACACTTTCTACCACACAACTGCACGTTTTCTAATTAGATTTGTTTTCATCAAGCTATTTTTTTTTTTTTTTTTTTGCATACGCCCACTCCGCTGCTCTGGTCGGTGTTATCTTTGCAATTTATCTAATCATAAAGTCAGGGTTTTTTCTTTTTTCATTTTTAACTCAACTTTGATACAAATCTTTTCATTGCGTTTCAATGGAAAACGTCAAAGACGGAAAATTTTTAGCCAAGTGGCGTGTCAGAGCTACAAAACTACAAAGCTGCATACATATGTATGTACATACACATTCAGAACACACACACACACACAAAAAAAAGCATATAAAAGAGCAACAACAACAACCACAAATTGAATGTGTGTCAACGACAAAACTACACTAATACATACACACATCTTCTCGCTTATGTACAATTGCAAAAAGCTTTCACGAAGCTTGAAGCGCTGCTCTCGTAGGCGCTCACATACACACATACACACATTCACACAAAATAATACATACACGTATACAGCTTATATTTACTGTACTTACGCGCGGGCTTATATAAAACTGGTTTGCCGCCGTGTTGCTGTCGCTGGCGTCTCTGTCGATTCATTCGTGCGTTGAACGTTGGACCGTGCGGTTCGTTGTGCGCTTCAAGCGCCTCAACAAAAATACAATCAAGTGAAAAAAAAAAAAACATAAAACCAAAGGAGAGCACCAACAAAAGAACAACAAAAAAAAAAAAAAAAACAACTACTCAACGCTGCTAGCAAAAGAATCCGTTGTTGCTAACGTCGAAAATAGTCAAATAAGTGGCGCGGCGGTTGGTGGTGGTTGTGGTTCAGTGGCGCAGCGCTTTGTTGGTGGTGGTTTTTTCGAGTGAACTTTGCCTGAAACGACAGACACGACATGTACATGTGTATGCATATGTGTGTGTGTGTACGATTTACACCATGTGTATCATGTGAGCAATAAGAACTGAAGAAAAAAAAAAACGAGAAAAAGAGAAAAACGTGTACGAAACTTCCAAAATGAAATGAAGCAAAAGCCCGCGCATTACGTAAACTCGCGCGCAATTGCCTTGCACAAAAGAATGGAAAATGAAAAGAATAGATGACACAAAAGAGAGGCGCCGTTTTTGACGAGAAACCAGGAACTTGAATGACACATTTTTTGAATCGACCGACAATTACGCAACTTACAAATGGCGTAGAGTAAAGGGAAGAAACGAAAAGTGTTGCCATCTCGCTTTAACGTCACCAGCACGTTAGCTCGTTGATTAAACACATTTATTTCGACATGGTTCGAATGGCCTTTGCATGTGCTTTTTATTATCGGATGACGGCAAGTCTGAAAAATTTGTACATGTGTGTATGTACTTGATTACATATTTCTTCACCTAAATTCGAAAGAGAAAAAAGCTCGGGCAACGTCATAATTTATGAAACCCCAACACACACAAAACAGACACAAACACACATATACATACATACAGACGCGAATTCTAACGAAGCGCTTTCGTTTCGTAGACTCGCGTTCGTTGAGTTGGCTTTTTTTTCGTCGAGTTTCGTTCGTGTGCTGCTTTCGGCAGTTGCTCGCGCCATTTGCAGCTGCACAGCGAACAAAGTTGGCCGCGTTTTTGGCGTCGGCAAACTACATGGGTAAACGTTACAGAAATCTAATGGAATTTTTTCCCGCTCGCTTCGCGCTTTTCGTGTATTTGTTTTACAAGTTTTTCCACCCAATTGCTGCTGCTGCTGTCTGCTGTCTCCTATTAACAACATGGCAGCGTGTGCGAGCTGTGAGCGGTTTTTATCAACGTACTGCAACCTATGTGGGAGCGAGACGGGGACTCACTGTGCTTTTTATATAGTCAGTCTTTTTCTCTCTCCTATACAAATTGCGGGCGTATCAACATGTTAAATCTTTAATAATTATTAACTGTCAACCTGGAATTGTGTCAAATGAAAATAACAGTTGTGTGATTCTAGTAATTAAAATTACCTACTCTTAAGCTGGAATATGTTTGTAAACTTTTTGCTAACTAAAATTCAAAATAAAAAATATGCTCTCTTTTAAACAGCTTTTTGGAAACGTTTTTTTTTATTACACATTTTATCATTCCACCAGAAGCACACGCATACGCACGCAAGCACACACACACATTTGCAGACAAGCAAGCGTACGCATAAATATTTCTAGCTCTGTCGCGCGCATACGCTTTATCAAGAGCAAGAGCTGGCGACGCAAGCGATGAAACCGTTACGACGCGACGACTATGAACAGAACACAAACGGTCGCTCAGTCGGTTTCTATGTTATGTTGCTGTTGTCTTGTTGCTAAGTCTGCCAATGAGACAGCATACACGCACATGCACGCATGTGTGTGTGCCTGTGTATGTTTTGTGTACGAACAGAAAAAAAAAAAAAACTACAATGGGTAGAAATAGAAAATAATAATTTTTTTCTTGTGCTTAGAAGAGCAAAACAAATAGACCCTTTTGTATGTATGTATATGCACGTATGTATGTATGTGTATGCATTTTATCGCTGACAAAAGTTGATTAAGAAATCAATTGAAACATGGCCCAAAAGCTTTGGAAGAGTCGTTCCAACACCTGGGCACATTGTCCAATTAGCAAAAGGCTGCTAAACGTACGCGCAAAAACCAATTCGAATTAGAAATTGAATCATTCGTTCAATTTCAAATAAACAAGTTTTACACCATGTCACACACACACACACATGCACACGCACACTCAGCCGGACAGGTGAGACCTGTGCAAGGGGAATTTTGTGTGTTTGGGGTGCTTTATGTATGGGTGTGCGAGTGTGTGTGTGTGTGTGTGTGTGTGTGTGTGTGGTTGGTGAGTGATGCGGCCAACGGATCGCTGATCATGTGGCTAAGAGGCGGCAACTATTATACATATATGTATGTATGTGTATATATATATATTAAATATTTTCATTTGCCGCCCTCAAATTATATTCTCAGCAATTGTAAGAATGCATTTGAGTTGGTTTTTTTTTTTTATTATTGTTGTTGATGATGCAATTTTCCCCTTTCAATTATTTAGAAATTATATAAAATGCTTTGTTCAGATTTTTTTTTTGTGGTAGTTAATCATGGGACAAATGTGGATTCTGACGACATTAAATCAGGCATTCAAATGGAACCGATTTGCATATGTGTGTGTGTGTGTGTGTGTGTGTGTGTGTGTGTGTGTGTGTGTGTGTGTGTGTGTGTGTGTGTGTGTGTGTGTGTGTGTGTGTAACAAGGTTTGCGATTAGCATAGAATAGACTAAGAGAAAACACGAATTACTGCAGCACTATTTAGCTTGTATAACACTGGCAATTAGTGTTGGGAAGAGCAGAGCAGATGGAAAACTATCTATACAATCAAATATCAATTACATCTATAATGAAATGGTAGTGTTGTATAACTTTAAAGCTCT